GTGACCAACACAATGACACTAAGGAAAAGGAAGACCCAGAGAGGTGCACAACAGGTATAGACAAAAAAGATAAACACTTTTACATACACAATACTGCATTATCAGTAATAACTAACATTAATCTGTGGATGGATGCATAGGTTGCTGTTGTCGTTATGTGCCATCGAGTCGGACCCAACTCATAGCGACCCCTCCTTGGGTTTCCGAGGCAGTATCACTACGGAAGCAGATTGCCTCATCTTCCTTCCGAGGAGTGGCTGGTGGGTTTGAACCTCCCGCCTTCTGGTTAGCAGTCAAGTGCCTTAGGCACAGATGCATAGGTAGACAGGCTAAATGATCAGGTATGTCTAGGGAAAAGGGAATATAACCGCAACCAAATGTAAGTTTGGCAGATGACATTTCTACGTGTCTATTTGCATGTGCTGAAAGAATGTCCATATATATAATAGAGTTAATGGAGAAAAGTTATTGTGGTAGTTGAAGTTGTGTGCAACTTGGCTGGGCCTGGTTGAGTGGCTGGGCAGCTAGATGTAGTGTTCCCCATGATGAGACTGGTAATCAATTCCATGTTGGAATCTACTGTGAGAAGCTGAGTAGCTGCCTTAGGGATGTGGTCTGCTTCCTGTATATAAGGAGAAGCCTTGGGAATGGTCTCTAGCTTTTTGGCACACTTGAGCCCTGCATGTAGCCGAGTCTTCGTTCAGTAGCCTGCAATGCTCTGCTAATCTTGGGACTCTCAATGGACTTGAATTAATGGCCTGCCATGTGGTTTGGTAACATCGGGACTGTGCCTTTTGACTTGCCGACCTTGGGTTTGTCAGCCTCAGCAGCCAGCAGCTGCCTGAGTGAAGAAAGCCTCTGGCTTCAGTGGGCCAGGAGCCAGAGGCAGAGCTGAAGCCAAGGTCAAGGGGCTTTCACCCAGCCCCTAGAGCCCGGCACTTTGAACTCGGACTTCTAGCCTCCAAAACTGAAAGAGAATAAACTCCTGTTTGTTAAAGCCATCCCATTTGTGGTATATATTCCTGTCAGAGCAGCACTAGGAAACCAAAACAGTTATGATAACTTCTTAGCCACAGCCAAAAACCCTGAGGGAAGGAGTCACTGAGCCCACAGACTCAGAACCATGGCTGTGCGGGACATCGTTCAACTGGCATAACATACTACACAAAAACATTGTTCTGCAGCCTACTTTGGTGGGTAGCAACTGGGCTCTTAAAAGCTTGTGAGTGGCCTGATGAGACCATGGCCCCTAGCTGCCCTTCAGGTCTGGAACTGAACCCACTCCTGTGGCTTCCAGCCAAACAAAAGACAAGCATATGAGGTGAACATTTACACTAGGTAAATACACTCCTCGGAGAGAACAATCATGGGAGAATGGAAGGACTGTGTATGCACAGGGAGACAGCTCAGGGGTCAGAAGTGCATGGAGGGAAGGACACAGGCAAGAGGTAACTATGGGGAGGAAGTGGGAGGGGAGCTGTTGCATTGTGGTAAATTGTAGTCAACGTCATGAGACAAAGTGTAGGTGAATTGCTGTATGGAAAGTGAATTTGCTCTGTAAACTTTCACCCAAATCACGATTTTTTAAAAAAAGCTTGTGAGTGGCGATCTAAGATGCAATAATTGGTCTCTTCTCATCTGGAGCAAAGCATGAAGAAAATCAAAGATGCATGGAAACAATTAGTCAAAGGGACTAGTGGACCACGTGAACCTCAGCCTACACGACCCTGAGACCGGAAGAACTAGATGGTGCCCGACTACCACTGGCAACCACTCAGAAAGGGATCAAAACAGGAGATCCTGGGTAGAGTGGGAGAAAAATGTGGAACAAAACTCAAAATCATAAAAAACGACCCAGCTTATTGGTCTGATGGAGACTGGTGAAACCCTGAGACTGTGGCTACTAGTCACCCTTTAGGCCTGGAATGGAACTCACTCCTGTGGCTTCTAGCCAAACATCAGACAGGCATATAAGGTGAACGTTTATAGCAGCTACCTGTACATTCCTTAGAACAATCAATCATGAGCTATAAGAAGGGCAGTACTTGCACAGGGAGTTAGTTCAGAGGGCAGGAATGCATAGGAAACAAGGACACAGGAAAAAAGTAATGACAGGGAGAGGGTGGGAAGAGAGCATTATGGGGATTGCAATCAATGACATGAAACAAAATGTGTATGAATTGTTTTGGGAAAAACGAGTTTGCTCTGTAAATTTTCACTGAAATCACAATAAAAGTGTGTAGAACATAAAAGCATCATTGTGGGGATTGCAAAAGGGAGTTCTCCAGACATAGGCAGGAAGTTTGGAGGGCCTGCTTGTTGAAGGAGATCACAGGTTTACAGTGGAGCCAGTCTGTCCTGCTCTGTAGCCTTCTCCAGAAGTGGAGGCTTCTTAGGTGCAGGTCCAGAAAAATAGCCATTTGAGTTCCACCAGGCAAAAGGTGTTCAGATATTCAAGGCCTCTAGTGGAGGTCAGTCAGTACAGTCCATACGAGAAACATGCGCGCGCACATGCACTCTCTCACACACACAGCCACACAGACACAGACACACACACACACACACACACACAGAGGGGGGAAGCGAGGCAACGGAAAGACAGATGAGTAGGAGGGGAGGTAGATAAGGGATAGAGGCCTGTTGGAAGAAGGATTGGGTGGCAAGCAAGGGAGATTCTTATACTCAAGAGCCTTATAGAGACCCAGGAAAAGACTCTCCCTAGGTATCAAGGATGCTCAGTTCAGTGAAGCTCAGAAGCCATAGGTTCAGGGAAAAATATGGCAAACAATTGGCATGCCCTCACTGCTGATGCTGTCTGTACCCCTTGATATCGGGGTTAGACATTTGATGTGTGTCCGTCTAGATACTTAAAAACATACATATATATCTGCAACCAACATATAGGATTGTCTTTGAGTTTTTAAATTTACAAATTTGTGGTCAAGGGCATGCATTATTCTGCAGTTTGCTTTATGGAGTCATCAGAGCACTTTACAAAGCTATGTTCACATAGCCTTCTTTGTTCCTTTTGGTTGCCACATTTTAATCTACTGGATGCATAAATTACATTGCATTCATCCGTGTCCTCACTGATGGGAATTTAGATTGTTCCCAGTTTTCCCTCTTGCCAACATCCTTGTGCATGTGTCCTTATGCGCATGGCAAGCCAGTGTTTCCAGCAGTGGATATGCTGGGACATGGTGATGGGGGGCGGGGTGCAGGCAGTTTTCAGTTTTCATAGTTTCATTTAAAACATGGACTCTGGACCCAGGGTGCTTGGTTTAATCTTATCGCTAATATTGAAAGACTAAATGATCTTGGGCAAGTTGCTGAACTTCTCTGTGCCTGTTTCCTCACAGAAACAGAGGGTGATAATAATAGGAACATCTATCACAGGCTCCTTGTGAGGATGAGTAACTATTTATCTACAGTGCTGAAAACAGTGCCAGGCACAGAGTTAGGGCCTATATTTTGGTATTTATAGACTCTGGAAAAATATCCCTCCCAAATCGTTGCCCTCCCCACGCAGGGAATGTGCAAATACACTGGTTTCCTGGTAACCTTTCCAACCCTTGGATACGTTAAGCTCTTAATTGTTGCAACCCTGTTGTGTGAAAAGTGTTTTGTGTATTTTCACTTTGCATCTCCATGATCGGGAATGGTGAGCATCTTTTGGGGTGTCCATTGACCACTGAGGTTCTCTCTCCTTTGACTAAACGGGGGTAGAAGTGGGGGCCCCGGGGCAGTGTAGGGCAAACTCTGGCCTGCTGGCCATACCGACCTGCCAAGAAAGTTTCAGTGAAGCAAAGGCACGCCGATTCATTGTCTGTGGTCGCAGTCTTTCTTGCCAAAAGGGCAGGGTAGAGCAGTTACGAGAGAGATCAAATGCCCGGCAAATCCCAAAATATTTACTCTCTATCCCATTACACAGGAGCTCTGGTAACATAGTGCCTAAGGCACTTGACTGCTAACCAGAAGGCTGGCGGTTCAAACCCACCAGCCACTCCTCCGAAGCAAGGTTGGGCTATCCTACTTATGTAGTGATACTGCCTTGGAAACCCAAGGAGGGGTCGCTATGAGTCGGGCCGACTTGATGGCACATCACAACAACAACAACATCCCTTTACACGGGAGCTCTGCTGGTGGCATAGTGCCTAAGACATTTGACTGCTAACCAGAAGACTGGTGGTTCAAACCCACCAGCTCCTCCTCAGAAGGAAGATCAGGCAATCTACTTCAGAAGGCTCTCCCAAGGAGGGGTCGCTATGATTCCGAAACCCCTCCTTGCGCTGTGAGTCGGAACCAACTCAACGGCAGTGATTTTTTTTTTAATCCCTTTACACAAAAGGTATGCCAACTCCTGATTATGAACTGTTGGCTTCCTTTGCCTGTTGTCCTATGAGGTTGTTAAGTCGTGTTTTGTAAAATAGGCTTGGGAATACTTTCTGTCCTAGGTGCTCCATGTTCATC